AACGACTATAGTTGTATTTTTTATTGAACTAAGTGAAAAAAAATACACTCGTTCCTTTAGAGTTTAGAATAACTCTCTCAAGTCTGTTACTATGTTGAACAATAATCGTAGTGATTTTTTGATGATGTCTAAGGGTTAAAATGGGATATAGTTCATGAAAACCTCCCATAGTTAAAGTGTTTGTTTGTTTTTGAATTTCGCGCAAAGCTACACGAGGGCTATCTGCGCTAGCCGTCCCTAATTTAGAAGTGTAAGACTAGAGGGAAGGCAGCTAGTCATCACCACCCACCACCAACTCTTGAGCTACTCTTTTACCAACGAACAGTAGGATTGACCGTCACATTATAACGCCCCCACGGCTGAAAGGGCGAGCATGTTTGGTGGGACGGGGATTCGAACCGGCGACCCTCAGATTGCGAGTCGAGTGCCCTAACCACCTGGCCATTAGTTAAAGTGGTATTATAACTTGAATGTGACATGAAGACACCCTATCAGGAAGTTCTTCGGTGTTTCAGATAATTTGGGCCCGGCATGGCCAGGTGGTTAGGGCGCTCGACTCGCACTCTGCGGATCGCGGGTTCGAATCCCTGTCACATGAAACTGTGTTCTTGGTAAAAAAGAAAAATATCTTAGATTGGAAACTCTATAAACCGACTTATGGAAAATAAATCCAGAAGTCTGTATAGCCCAGCTGCTGTTTAGCATTCAGTATACTAATTTTCTTTACATGTATTACTATTACGCTAAGTACCTGTTGATCCAGTACATGTCCATATCGGACGGCGTCCTTTGTCGGGCCTTCAAAACTGTTAGTAAAGCATATTCTCCACCAGGTAAAAAACCTATGGCTGCTATAGTTGTTAGTCCTTGGAACATTCTTTCTGTGTGGTATCCGAACCACCTTGAGGAACTATACCAGTCGCTGTTTGAACCTTGTTCTCCTTGCATTTTTTATAGGAGAAAAAAAAAAGCCTTGTTTATGAACTTGCATGCGGGCGTTCACTTTGCAAAACACATTCGAAACAGTACACCTGCTAACTACCACAATGTCTACTGTAATTACACGATTGAAACCCTACACCTTACAGTGTCTACTGATATTGTTTATTGATCATCTAGAATACTTGTGCAGAGGAAAAGGAATAAAAAAGGTTTTATAGCAACTACAATATGATTATTAACATATTTATATGAAATCAAACAATCCTTATACAAAGAAGCAAAAACAGAAAATGTCATTGTTAAATAAATAATGTTCCTTTGCAAAAATGTAATGCAACAGTTGCAAAAGTGCTCAGAACATTCACACTAGAAGAACCCATATTATTAAAGATTTACTAAATTTAGTAAATTGGTCCTATTTCAAAATTCCATTATAGTTAAATAAAAGAATTCTATACATAAATAATAACCTTGTTAAGCTCTGTGTAACTACAAAATTGTTCTTATATGTACAATGTCTCTGACCTGCTGATTGGACTGTAACTACACTTCTTACAGGAATAATGTTCCGAATTTTCTCTGTGTAACTAAAAAAAAAAGTAGGAGATTAAAAACGCTAGGGCATGTCATAACCCGTAAGTACTTAACGAACTCTCACTAGCACAGTAGCATCTGGATAATGACTCATTAGTCATCACTGCTGAAAACTTCCATACATATAATTCACCCCGTTTATGTAATTACTCAAATTAAATTGTTGGTTACAACACAAAATTTTATCTTCTTTTACCAGTTTGGTATTCGTGTCCCCCCTGATCTGCTTAGTCTAACTACATAAAACTATTACTTACAGCAGTAATGATTTAGATTTTCTCTCTATATTTAGATGGATTGTACATGGGGAATATCAAAAGCTGTCTTGACCCAGAAGTGCTCAAAAGACATTTCCCACTATGTCTTGCAAATCATAAAACAGCATTATCTTAAAATTGGAATCTCTTATATAGATCATTCATGTCTCTGTATTCCAACTCAGACTACATCTTTGGTTGTGGTACCAAAATATATATATATATATCTTTTTTTTTTGCCACTGTGTTGTTCCACACATCTGATTTACCCAATGCAATCAGATAAATTGAAAATGGGGAGTATCAGAGACTGTCTTTGCTCAGAAAATCTTAAGAAATCTCTCATTAAGATTGTATTCCTTGATACTGTAATATCTGGATGACGGCTCATTTCTGGCGAAATTTCCCACAGTGATCATTCTCCTCTGGACTTGCTAAGTTAGGCTAAATTCTTGGTTAAAGTGCCAAATTTGCTCCACACTCATATACCACTGTGGCATCCCTAGAATATGTCAAATACTAGAAGTCAACAAATAATCGAGAATTTGAAAAATTCAGCTTAAAATAATCAACTAAAAAGACTGGATCGGTTGTAAAACTAGAAACACCGAAGGCACTCATTTACACTTAATATAGAACACTAATGAAACACACTGAGCATTAACATAAGAAATTATAAATATTTGATATAAGCAAAGAGAAGATAACAAATAGGGTCTATACCAATTGTGAGATAAGGTTTCCATCTTCATAGAAACAGTTTTAGGAGTACAACAGCATTTTCAGGTCTTTTAACTTTCTCGCAACAAATACAATAATCTGAAAACTTAAAATGCATATCTAATTACCATGTGATGTTACCATAATAATAATATTCCCCATTTACTAAGTGTAATCATAAAACCGTTCTCTAAAGCAACAATGTCGCTGACGTGCTCAGTGTAAAAAGAAAACCGTTCTTTACAGCAACAATGTCTCTGACGTGCTCAGTGTAATTATAAAATCGTTATTTGTAGCACAAATATCCATGCTTTGCTCAGTTTTACAACAAAATTACTCTTTAGGGCAATAATGTCACTGATCTCAATGCAACCATAAAACCATTTTATACCAACACTCCCTGTGACTGCTCAATGCAATTACAAAAGTTTTTGTTGTTGTTGTTTTTTTCTTTACCAATACTCCTCGCAAATGCTCATTGCAGCTATGAAAGGTTAGTTATAGGATATTAACTTAAAATATCCGTTGTGGAGTTCAGTAGTCTCCTTATGATTCATAGAAGCTCCTGTGTACCAACCAAGCTCATACGTCATTTCCAGTTACTTCTATGACTATTATAAGGGGAAGGGAAAGTACACACACGTAAAAAGGACAAAAAACTGTTAGAACACCAGCTCTTGGTACCTATGAATGTGTGCCAAGTTTGGTCCCTCTAGCTCTTAAGTGGGATATGAATACAATTTAAAAAATGGCCTCAGATCCCTAAAGGATACAGGAGCACAATATCTGTGACCAGATTTAAGTTCAGTAACCTGCAAACCTACTTCTAGACCCAATCGTGGCTAGGTGACCTTTCGGGCACACTTTAGCCCCTATTGTACCCAAAAAATATGTATGGGGTAGGGGATACGCTATATAGATAAAAACACCTCTCGAGCCACACCGAGTCCTCCTGCTGAACTTTGGTCCTGTAGAGGAGTTTACAGATGAGAAATTCACAAACATACAAATGAAATACTATAGAAAATCCCCCTGTTCTGCTCAGTATAATTGTAAAATCGTTTTTCAGAGCAATTGTATCTTTGATCTATTCAATAAAACTATAGATTCGTTCTTCAGAGCAAAAATGCCCCAAATCTTCTCAGTATAAATATGAAGCAAGTCTTTGGAGCAACAATGTCTGGCTCTGCTTAATTAAACTATTCTTTTCAGCAACAAGTCCTAAGCCTGGTCAATGTATTGTTTGTTTGTTTTTTGGAATTTCGCGCAAAGCTACACGAGGGCTATCTGCGCTAGCCGTCCCTAATTTAGCAGTGTAAGACTAGAGGGAAGGCAGCTAGTCATCACCACCCATCGCCAACTTTTGGGCTACTCTTTTACCAACGAATAGTGGGATTGACCGTCACATTATAACGCCCCCACGGCTGAAAGGGCTCATCTTATACATTATTAATACTTAAAACAATACAATGTTTATAAATGTTTATAAACATGTGGTTAATATAAACAGGCTCATTAATGTTTACTATTTATATGTGTGTTACGCCTACTTCTAATTTAACTCTTATTAAAGTACTTACTTGTTAAATTTCACATCATGAAATATTTCAAAGAGCTTGTAATCACTATGATTAGTGCAGTAAATGTCTTTTATCGAAGAAAATATTGAGTACCTAGACTAAAAGCTTAAGATTGCCTATGATAACGTAGTTTCAAATACTGCACCGAGAATGTGTTAACAACATCATTACTCAATCTTCTGTTCAATCAGTTAATAAAATGTTTCCACATCCGACTGTTTGACTTTAGTTAATGCTAAGTATATCCTGATAAGGATTACACTTGATACAAGATTTGAATGCCGAGTCGTAATTTTCACTCAAAGTGTATGTTCGATTAATTAATGCTAAATATATCCTGATAATGATTACACTTGATACAAGGCTTGAGTGCTGAGTCGTAATTTTCACTTAAAGTGCATGTTCGATGTTTTTATGTTCGTCCAATAATTATTCGATTTTCCTAATCGGGAATCTATTCATTTGTGTATCTTTCAATCTGGAGATAATCTTGTATAGAAGTGGGATTTTTATTTACAAATACTTAAGTGCTACTCACGTTATTTGCCAAAAACCTATACTCTATTGTATGTTTGTATTGTATGTTTGTAGCTATAAAAGTTGTTTGTGGTTGCTGTAGGTGGTGGAGTTTCTTTCAATGGTGACGTCAAATTTCCATTGCCCTAACGCCGGTGCGCATTTGACTCTCTTTGTCAATACGGTGGTGTACGTGGGCTGCTGTTATCGGTTCATACACGCATCCCTTCAGTCAGGCTTGACACAGCTGGTTATATTGTGCTTGTCTAACGCTATACCGCTCTGCTAAAGCGAATTAAACCCATTCTTACGCGTTTGTAACTTCGAAAACTTTAGAACAGTTATCCAGGTTAAAGCATTATTGCCTACCATTACTTTTGCGAGAATTAAGATGGAGAAGGGAATTTATTCAGAAGGACCTCAAGACGGCGAATTACTGAATGATTTGAGTAATAGAAGTATCAGGAGGGTTTCTGGAAACCTTACTCATCAGGAGGACAACTTGTATGACGTTCCAGTTGGTATAATTGTACTTTTGTCTATATGCTATGGGACAATTTCTCTCGTAGCCGTTGTGGGTAACGTCTGTGTTCTTTGGATCGTCGCTACAAGCCGAAGAATGCAAACAGTCACAAACTTTTTTATTGCCAATCTAGCCTGCGCTGACATTATCATTGGGCTTTTCTCTATTCCTTTCCAGTTCCAAGCTGCCCTACTCCAACGATGGGTATTGCCCTACTTTATGTGCGCCTTTTGCCCATTCGTCCAGGTTCTGTCGGTCAACGTAAGTATCTTCACCCTTACTGCTATTGCCCTCGACCGTTACCGAGCAGTGATGTTCCCGTTAAGAGCCCGAACCTCCAACCTTCGGGCAAAGCTAGTCGTGACGGGAATTTGGTGTTTTTCTGCAGGACTCGGTATCCCCAGTGCCGTAGCTCTCCGTGTGATTTTCAAATACGAACCTGCCACTGGAAACAATACAAAACCTTTCTGTCAAAATTCTGAAATCCCACAGTTGGCCTGGAGAACATACAATCATATTCTGGTATCTCTTCAATACTTTGTTCCCTTATTTGTAATTAGCTATGCTTATATTCGAATGGGTATACGACTGAGACAAAATCAGACTCCAGGAAACGCCCAGGGACAGCGAGACGAAAATATTCTTAGAAATAAGAAAAAGGTAATTCCCTTTCTCAATCCGTACGTTAAATTGGATAAAAATCCATCATTTAGTTTCACTAGAACAAGAAAAATAAGAAGTATGATTTATACATGTTTATTCAACATTAAATACTGTACCAAGTGACACGATTGTTTTCTGGGCATTTATTTAGACAACTGAGTCAATCATTATAAAAAATGGCTAATTTTGCATAGTTGGTCAAATTATGTTTCCATCTATTTTAATTTTAGCTGTTCGTAGCTAATTATTGCTTCCACGACTTAAGCACAGAACTGAAGCATTAGTTTGGTTACTATATTCTAACCCATACTGAAGAACTTAAGACTCAAATTTGTAGAAGTACCAATTGTAACTGTTAATTCTGCAAAAATAAACGTGAACAATGATAAGAGCTGGACGAGATATTTCACAAAGATATGATGTAGGTATTTTATATTTTGGTTTCCTGTATTGACCATAATTTTATGACCTTTCTGTTAATGGTACGTCAGTTACCAGATTATACTAAATAAAGTGCTTCAGGAAAAATGTATTTGAATCTGATTCTCGTACATATTTAGCTTAATTCCTATGACCCGGCATGGCCAGGTGGATAAGGCGCTTGATTCGCAATCTGAGGGTTGCGGGTTCGAATCCCAGTCCCACCAAACATGTTCGTTTATTCTCACACTAATTAGTTCTTGTATTATTATTATTTTTTTTGTACGCCAACAACAATACATTTTTACCCTTAAATTATTTTAAATTTATGCAAGGACTTGTTTTACTTGTTCACAACTAAGTTTTGAAATATATGAGTATTTTCTTGCCAAAATTATTGTTTTTTCGTAATTTGTTACTGATGCAATGAACATTTAAACATACTGCTGTTATCAGACAGTGGATAGAAATTTGAGATAAAGCGTGTTGGTAAAAGACAAAATTATTGATAATACTTAAAACTCATAACACAACTAACAGTTAATTATTGCGGAACTTAATTAGACAATCTACAAGTATTATTATTATTATTTTTTTATTATACAAGCTGAGCCTTCCATGGGTAAACGGGGTTCGGTTAGTAACAACTATTCAGGAACATTTCGAAATACAAATCGCCTGGCAACTTGGCAGTTCAACAACGCAAGTAATTATGCCTACTGTAGTGGGAATATGTGGATGCAATAGTGAATGTAAAAAAAAAAGAGAATATAATCGGAAAAACCAAACATCCTGTTAATATTAGAATGAAAGAACATCAAAGAGACATCGTATATGATCCGTGAAAATTTCAGCAATGGCATTACATGCTGAAGCGCATAGTCATAATTTTGATCTTAAGAATATAAAGACAATTAACAAGGACTGTGACATCAAAAACAGAAGAATTAAAGGCATTAACCCAAACAGTGGTTTCTGTTTACACACTTGCTGGTTACCTCTCCTCAAAGAAGTCAAACCATTGACTGGGTTAAATGCTGTTATAAATCTAAATTATCTATTCTCTATAAATTATTTATACTATTTTGTATTATTTATATTATTATTATTCTGCCATTATAGTCTGCAGTTAACAAATAAGTAATACTAATTTGGCTTAGTTGTAGTTTGTAGTTTCTAATTGTTTTTTATTATCTATTTTTAACGTTTAAATAGGCTTATTTGTTGTAATACTATAGAGGGCATATCTTTCTTATTGAATATAATGTTTTCGTTTTTTGCTTCTTAGATGTAACTGTTGACGTCACTCATTGATACTTTTAGTTATTTCTGTATTTATACTAATTTTGTAGAATTCACTTATTCTTCTTTCCAAAGCAATATCTTATGGCTTTTTGTACAATGGCATAATTTGTCCTTTGTTTTTATATGTTTTGTGAACAGTTATCTACTCTATTTGTATTTAAAATCACTTTCATTAAACCTTGTTGGTTGTAGTATTTAGAATATTTTTATTAACGTCTCTCATGGCCCGGCATGGCCAGGTGGTTAAGGCACTCGACTCGCAATCTGAGGGTCGCAGGTTCGAATCCCCGTCACACCAAACATGCTCGCCCCTTTTAGCCGTGGGGGCGTTATAATGTGACAGTCAATCCCACTATTCGTTGGTAAAAGAGTTGGCGGTGGGTGGTGATGACTAGCTGCCTTCCCTCTAGTCTTACACTGCTAAATTAGGGACGACTAGCGCAGATAGCCCTCGTGTAGCTTTGCGCGAAATTAAAAAAAAACAATGTAGGGAGGACGTACTTCGACAAGCTTATTATTCCCCTTCAATAATACGGATTTTACTACGTATTATAACACTGTTAAATTTTATTAATACCTTCTTTTCAGGCTTTTTTTTAGTTAATGAAATTGTGTAGATAGTAATTATTTTGGATATGACTTTTTATCAGTTTCAGAAGGGTTTCTGTCACTCGTCACTATGAAATAAGTAGGTATGGTTGGCGTTTACTGCGTACAGAACTTGCTCTGTTAAACGTACAACCGTACATTGTGGATTCACTGTTACCTACTAAATCACTTCGATAGTGGGTAATATATGTGAAAATCGACAATAGTTTTGAACTTTTTGTAGCGAATTTCAATCATTTGATATAACACGCTTTCTATTAGAAAACAGACATTTTTATAGCTACAATAACAATCGTGAAGACAAAGCGCATGATAATTAAAATCCTTGAAAAAATGAAATAAAGGCTTATTTGAAAAAGTGTAAAAAATATCAGCGACGAGATATTAATAAGTTAATCTGCTGTTCTAAAATGAAGATTGAAGATGACACCAGACCCCGTGGCTGCTCGTTTCGTGCAAGGTATTTGAAAATAAATATCGCAGATTTTTTTTTCTTCTTCGCAAAATGTAAAGTTTAAAATATAGTCTGTGACGTAGAGGCCTAATACGTCGACTGCTTATTATGCTTTCGTAAAAGAAACCTATAGGTAAGGAAAGGCTTGCAAAAGGTCGAAAAATATAGCACAGATAAGATGTATTATGCCATTTTTTCTGTGCAAAAAGTAAAGTACGAAAATAACATCAAAGTTATGCTTACTTGTGTTTAAGCGTAAGATTACACAACAGGCTATCTGCGCTGTAGCCATCGAAGGTATCGAACGTTGATTCTTAGTTTTAGGCTCAAAGGCTTACCGCTGGACCTCTGAAGGTGAACAAACATTAAGATACAAATATGAAGCTGTGAAAGGCTTCTTAGTATTTATGGGATGGAAAAAAGTTCTTAAAAACAATGCTCTTATTTGTTTGTTTGTAATTAAGCACAAAGCTACACAATGGGCTATCTGTGCTCTGCCCACCACGGGTATGCTTTGTAAGTCCGCAGACATGCCGATGTGCTACTGGGGGGCAGCTCTTATTTCAACGTTTAGTAACTAAAGTATAATTGATTATTTCAGAAATAAAGCTAATAAAAGTTGGAGAACGTGTTGTGAGACACACATTAGCTATCGTTCTGGTGTTAAAAAGTCCAGATCCATTGCCAAAAAGGAAAAGGAAAAGATATATTAACATGTTTATGGAATTTTATAGTACTTTTTAAACTCATTATGTTGAGTTGAAAATGACTCAAAAATTCCCATAAATATTGTATACACATCACCATAATATGAGGTCCAATTTTATTTCTTTTGGTTTACTTATCCAAGCTGTGCTGATGAGCCTCGAATAGGCGAAACTGTAGTCCAATCAAAGAATTTATAAACCAAAAATAATTTAAAGAGTAGCTTTCGATAAAAAAAAAGGTGATGGTAATAAACCAATGAACAATATAGGACTAGTACAAGAACAACCAATAAATTTGAAAAATGCCCGCGAGCTCGTTTGTGATTTGTAAAATGTTGCTTTGAAAATAAGAAAAAACGAATTCTACAAAAGTAGTACAAATATAAGAACATCTAAAAGTATGAATGAGTGACATCAACGGTTAATTATCAGAAGCAATTAATTAGCAAATTATAAACAAGTAAGCAACAGGTTTTTTTCTTCAAACTATGTTTTTAAATCACCAGCCTGATTATTGAAATATTTGATAGATATAAAAAAGTATAGCTAAAAAGGTAAAAAAATCGAACAATTATAAATTATAAACAAACTCGATGATATCTCTCAAATTTAAACGGGTGAATAAATTTTCAAGAGACAGGTAAAAGAATAAGTGATGACTTAGCAATTAGCAATTTTCCGAGTTATAAGATAGAAACAGTGGGAGGGGAAGGTTTGGTGCAAAGAATAACTCGCAAAAAAAGAGGGGGGAAAGTATATCCAATTTGAAAAAAAAATTGCGAAACGTCACCAGAGTTTCTCTATTGTTTTACCCCCATTTAAACACGCATCAAGGCCAAGAAGGATATAGATGAGCTTTTACAATGGGTAGGCTAAAGGATTTGTCACCAACAAAGATTTGTCTGACGGAAGTTACCCAGATCGATAATCGCTCCATTAGTCTTATCTATTTTTTTCTATGAAGTCTAGTATCAATTGAAACTTACAAAGAGAATCATTATGGATTCAAAATCATTAGATATTTACCGTGAAGTTCCAGTAAACATCGTGACGTAAAAGACTTACTTGTTTTGAAACTTTGGACAGGTTATTCTCAAAACTGCTTCTTACGGTCTTTTGAACAAATCCCAATTGCACTGATTGTCTAAGTCTGATGAACTTTAGTACTGAGTTAAGAGGCTTGTATTAAATTTTAGGCAGGCAGAAACGGTTCAATAATTGAAAAGTGTTATAGTGTATTTAAATTGGAAAGCACTTTTTATAAGCTTCATTGGCCTAGAAATGGATCAAAACTTCTGATTTTATATTTTGTTTTTGCCTCTTTTTTTTGTATGTTGTTGAGTACAAAGTTACACAAATGGGTGCTCTGCTCACTGCAAGTATCGAAACCCTATTTTTAGCATTATAAGTATTAAGACTTACCACTGAGCCACCTAAGAGTTAGTTTGGAGATTTGACGTATAACCATAAGCAAATATGTTCAAATAAGCAACAAGTTTTCTCGAAACTATACTTTTAAATAGCTAGCCTAATTATTGAAATAATTGTATAATATAAAAAAATCACTATTCTTAAGTAAATACGCAAAGTATAGATGGCTAGAAAGCTAGAAAAGTGGTGCCAAAACAAAAATAATTTGAAAACTGTAAAGCAAGCTATTAATAGAATAAAACTTTGCTTATCAAAACGATAAAGATTATTGTAATTATTAAGACTGAAATCATAAAAGCGAAACTATATATTACAATGGCTGAAATAAATACAGAAAACCCCGATTTCATAAAATCAGTAAACTGTAATCTTCTAAATCGTTATTTGACAACTCTGTATATGTGTATGCTTATACCTGGCGAATCGCTAGACTGATTGTCACCAAACCTGGCTTGTTCCTTTAGTAACATAGAAGGTTGGCGTGCGGATCTGACCTCATTATGTTACACTTAGGGTCCCCTATGTCCTCTCCATGCACTAAAAGGCTACGTCAGCCACTATAGAATATATTTGAAATAGATGGGAAGATATATAAGGTAAACTTGAGGAAAGTTTCAATGAAGGTATATTTTTTGTTCAAACATTAACTTTTAGTTTAGAATTTTAATGCATCAACCCGTGGCTCAGCGCTAGGCTTGAGAGCTTATAACGCTAAAAATCGCGGGTTCGATAGCTGCAATCGGCACAGTGTTGATAGTCTATTGT